AAAAGAGAAAATCTGATCGAAGACCTAATAGAAGTTCTTTAAAGAGCTCATACTTTATTTTCCTAATTGTTTTTGTGACATTTCTTATCTGAATTGAGGCTCTGATTCCAGGGCCTCTCTATATTTAATGTTATTAGAGTGCTCGTTACCTTTCTGGTATTCTCTGAATGAGGATGCTCACTGTGGAAAGGAATCAAGTTTTCTAAAATATAGAGCAACTTAGCAGCAGACTCAGCCAGATTTAGGACCACACAGTTAGTCTGGATAGTGGAAAAGAGAGAGAATATACTGCTCAATCCACTTTATTGGTCAGGCTCCAGATATTCTATTATATACATAAAATATGCTATCGTCTCTTGTGTGGTTCTCTAGTGCTTTCTTCCATACTACTGCTGTCGCCTTCTTTACTATATCACTTACCACCACTTACTTTATCTATACTTTATTCAGAGGTTATATACTCAAATGTTTACAGGGACATAATAGTCTAGCATAAGAAAATTTTAGATAAGCGTCCTCCAAATACAGGCATTTAAATTGAGAGGTTAACACCACGGAAAACAGTATAGAGATTCCTCAAAAAACTAAAAGTAGAACTACAATTTGATCCAGCAATCCCAGTACTGGGTATCTACCAAAGGAAAAGAAGTCATTACATGAAAAAGACACATGCACACACGTTTGGAGCAGCACAATTTGCAATTGCAAAGATACTGAACCAACATTAGTGCCCATCCAACCAGTGGCTGGATAAAGAAAATGTGGTACATATACACCATGGAATACTACTCAGCCATAAAAAGGAATAAAATTATGTCTTTTCCAGCAACTTGGATGGAGCTGGAGGCCATTATATTAAGTGAAGAAACTCAGGAATGGAAAACCAAATATTGTTTTCTTATCACTTATAAGTGGGAGCTAAGCTATGAGGACGCAAAGACATAAAAGCGATGTAATAGACTGTGGGTTCTTGGCGGGGGAAAGCTGGAAAGGGGTAGAGGATAAAAGACTACATATTGAGAACAGTGTACTCCGTTTGGGTGATGAGTGCACTAAAATCTTAGAAATCACCATTGAAGAACTTACCCATATAACCAAAAACCACCTGTACCCCCAAAACTATGGAAATTCAAAAAAAATAGAAAAAATAATAAACAGAAGGGTTAAAAACCTTATTTTTCTACTATTAAAACCATAAGTGTTAAATTATTAAAATGTATACTTATTGCATTATATTTTAATAAATATGCTATACATGTCTAAATTATGGGTACAATTTTCCCATAATTTTAAAAAAATCTATTGCCATGACTGAAATAAAGCACAAGTCTTAGAAAGCCTGGTTCATTCTGTTACTGTGTTTCACTAGACTTTACTGAGACAAATGATATGAAACATACTGATGCATGAGTACAATGAGAGGAATTAAATTTGTAACTTGATGTGACAATACATTTTTACTATTTTCACAAGTAAGAGAATCTGTGCAAAGTGGGAATTTTGCCATCAACAAAAATATTATCTTTAATACTGAGTTTGTCAGTCAGAATCATATGACTGTACAGAAATGAAAACAATGATTTACCAACTATGTAGTCTCAATCTGAATCATTTATTCTTCCCGGAAGATAACATATACAAGCCAATAAGAAACACGTCCTCCTCCTTTACCCTAAATGTTACCCCATGAACTACTCTCTTTGACAAGTTTAATCACTACAGACATAAGATTAATAATGAACATTGGAGATTGTCCTGTTAGCCGTGTAATAACCACTTCCTAATAAAATCTGCAATGTTTAAATCCATTTATTTTTGCTGAGAATATTGTTTCTACCACACAAATAGGAATTATTCAGAAGTTATCATTAAAGCGCACACTCAGGTCCAAAAGTTTGTAACAGAAAGTGACATATCCTCTGTCTATTTTACCTGTTGTCATAAAGATATAAATAGCTCTTTAAGGAGGGTATAGTGATAGGATATCGTATCTGACACAATCTCTACTAACAACATGTTTCACTCACAACTTACCACAAGACGCCATTTCATCTGTCTGGTCACCACAGTCGTCTTCCCTGTCACACAGCCATGCTCTGGGAATGCAACGCCCATTTCCGCAAGAAAACTGGTCTACCTGGCATGTTCTGGCTGTGATGATCAATTAATATACAAAAAATCAATTTAGAGGCCTTTTGAACATCAAGGATATAATTAAGCATGCAACATCCTTTCATACATAAGATAGTATATTTCTCTATTAAAATATTTTAAATGTCCATTTTTATTTAAGACTTCTGAATACCAGCTTGCTTGTCTTCTCTAAAGTTCACATGCTTTGTCCTTCAATTATCCATGACTGCTAAATGACAAGATAGTAATCCTCACACAATTCCATAAATGAAGCTATGAATTCATTATTTAAAAATTTTGCCTAGCATGTGCTTATGAATATAAGGTTGAATTAAGTTTCATCCAACTCTTAATTAACAAAAAAAGAATTTTGGATAGCATTTGCTAATAAACCAAGAAAATTTTTTTGCAGTATTGTAGACGGCATTATTTGGAGACGATCTCAGTATATCTAGTTTCTAATCATGGGGTCAGAATTGTCCTATTCCTCTAACATTTTTAATGCATTTATTTCTTGATCTCTAAATGATCTACTGTATGAAGTGAGAGCGCAAAAAAATAATTTCTAAAACGTATATTTAGCCTTAAGATGTTTTCTTTTTAACTCATTTTTCAGTACAATTATTGTTAAAAGTATGACTTTTTAATCAAGGTATATTAATGAACTTTGCTTTGGGCTCTCTTAAGGGTTTCAATGAACACAAACATGGAATCTTGCTTTCTATGTTAGCCGGAGGCAGTGGTTTAAAGTTATTCAGAAAAGGGGTTATGTTCAACACGAAATTTGATAAACCTTTTCTAGTATAATCAGGGCAACTTTTAAAAGCATGAAAGCTTAAGTAGCTTCCCTGCCTCTTCCCCCAGGCCTTTGGTAGTGACATGCTTAGTTGTTTTTATCATCTGATTTTCATTTTTGTTTCTTTTGTCCCTCTGAACTACAAATATGTCTTTATGAGCCTCAATATCCCATCTACCCTTTCCTTTCATTGGACTAGAGAAAAAAAATGAGATATATTGGGAAAGGGATACTCGGTCCTATGAAAATTTTGGATAGGTGAGGCTTGAACAGATAATTAATAATTGGGGTCTGAGTGTCAGTGGCTACAATAAGGGAATCTTGATGAGTTTATAGACTTCCTTTTTCCTAGGTTTGAGAACCGTTGCTTGTCTATTCAAAACACTTTGTGAACTTGGGTACTGATGGTTGGTATAAGAGAGAGTGGCGCAAAGCCAACTCAATCAACCACACTAAAATGAGTTCCATGAATTAGGGCTTCAGAAATCATTGAAAATAATTTTTTATAAGATAGATACATTGTTCTGTCCTTTTAAGAAAAGTGCACTTGCAGTCTTAAGATGTATATTCATTATTAGTGAATATTTTAAAGATTATCCTAGAAAAACAAGTGAAAAATTTACTGGCTTGGTTTGATACATTAGATTGTTCCTAGTCTTACTGTCTAAAATTAGAAATATCAGGAAAATTATTATAGTATGTATTTTGCTTTGCTTATATGATAAGGTTCCTAAATCTAAAATATTTTATGCACTATCTGATTTTTTCATTTTACAAATTCATCATTTATTTTACATTAATAGATTTTAAATATTCCAGCAAACATATATGCTTCTATAGTTTTTAATGTTAAAATTACAAGTAAAATTAAATAATTCTATATTGTCTCATTTAATTCTACAGATTTTCTGGTAAATTATTCTGTCATCTATACTAAAATGAATAAAGTTCTTAGATAATTGTTATAACATTATGTCTGCTGAGAAAAAAATAACTATACATGTATTTGTATTAACCTAGAGAAGGAGGTAGAAAGATATACACAAAGTCTAATGTCATTAGTTTACTTGATAGGAAGGGGTAAAAACAGAAGTGTTAGAGAGATTAATAATTTTTCCCTTACATATCTCTGTTTCACTGGTTACAATAAATACCTTTTTATCTTTTGAGTTTTAAGAAAAATTTAATAAGAGAATTTTTTTTCAATTCTTGTTTACTTCCTTTCACCCTACCTTGCTTCCTTCCTCGTTTTCCCTTGTTGTTTCTCTTTTTTTCTTTTCCACACCTTTCTTCCTCCTTCATTCTTTATTTCATTCCTTCAGTCTTTTCTGTTTTCTTGCTTTATATAAATAAGCATTATCACATATTTCTATCTTAAATGCTAATTGGCCCGTAATAAGAATATATTAAATTTATCAAAACCAGTGTTCTTTTATTTGACATTCTTATGTCACTGTATTCTGGCCTAATAATTCAGGTTTAATTCTAGCAAAGTTTTATCAGATTGTTTTCTTTCATTAGGAAAGCTATGATGATTAGAGAGGAAAACGAGAAAGAATTTCTATGAACCTGTCTCATATTGTGTATGACCCATCTCACATTGTGATGCTGTGGGAATTTTTGTTAGCTCATTAACTCTGAAGCTGGAGGAACTGTTATGACCTATTATTCCAAAGAGTATTCACTGGATTATTATTGAGGGAAAGTATGCCCTGAAGATATATGAATTCACCGTCTGTTCTAATCATGGAGAAAATTATTCACTTAGTCTACTAGGCAATTTTAACTGATTTCAGATGAGAAAGATGCTTCATTCCACAAACCCTCAAGGACTGTTTATGTGATATAATCAAGTTGACTAAATTATCACTTTCTAATCAATGAATTTTTCTGAAAACAAACCCCAACATTTACTTTTTCATCTCTTGTCTCCATCAGACCTAAGTTAGTTTGGAGGCAAGATTAGCAGAGCAGCCCCATAGGACTCTAATTTTGTAGCACATGCTGCTCTAAGGAGGAAGAAATTTACACCTCCTTCAAGAGAATTGTTTGTCTAGCTGCTGAATCAGAGATTCAGTCTAATCATGCTTCTCCTGTAGCCACGTAACAGTGAGAACTCTCACAAGGCACACAAACTATACAGTCAAGAGGAGACTAGAGCATAGCACTATTCTTAAACTTCACTTTTGCTGTATTGTAATCAAAGCATTCTACTTAGCTGTATTTAATGTCATATCAAAATGCACTCATTCTTTTGTAAAGAGAAGTCTAATTTTTAAATACATTAGGGTGTTTTTGCAATCAATTATATTTATCTAGTATGAATTTAGTTATAATTGGTAGAGGATGTGAGAAGAGCAAATATTATGTAATCTAACCAGAGCACTATGGTGGGGTGAAATGTTGATATGAAATTGTCTAGGCTTGAATATAAGGAATGATCACGTTTCCATGAGGAACAATAATTTCAAATCTAACTACTTTTCATCTTCGGTCTCTGGGTCTCCCTCATGAGTAGACAACAATATTCTGGATGTTGACGGAGAACGGCTCCCAAGACCCTGACTGTGTCCACTTACTCCAGCCCCCTGTGTATGTGCTATTTCCTCTTCTAGGCAAATTCTCCAACCCTTTCTCTTATTATTCACTTCACCCCACCCTGGATAATCTATTCTGGTCAATTGTTTTTTTTTTTTTCTAGTGAAACATTTCTACCATCTAGCAAGGTAAAGGAAAAAATATCGTTAGCATCAGTTTACTGTTACATAGCTATATCAAATCTTATTTATTTTTACATTTGTTACAGATTTTTATTTTTGTTTTATCTAAGAAAAAATATATGTACTTATATTTGAAATTTCCTACATAATCTTTCTCAATCACATTTCCCTCCCTCTCTTTCCAGAGGTAACTAATCTTCTTAATTTGTTTTTGTTTTTTTATATCTGGGCATATTATAATACTATTCCTATTTATGAATTCATAAACACTATATAAAATTATTTTATATTTTATACTTCACATAAATGATATTGTTTATTTTCTTCAATTTAGTGTTTTATTTTTTTTTTCCTTGGATGAGGGTATCTCATCTAATTTAACTTTATTTTTAAATTCATTTTTGTTGATATTTGAGTTCTTGTTCAGATATTTTAATTATGAACAACATTCCATGAATAGAACACAATATACCTATCCATTCTTCTGTTAATGGACATTTTAATTGTTTCAGTTTTTCACTATTACAGCACAAGACAATGAAAAATTTTATTCATGTCTCTCTCTTCATGCACAGGTATTAGATTATAAACATAGAAATATAATTACAAAATTGAAGGTATGCACATCTTCACATTTATTGAATTTGGCCAAATCACTTTCCAAGATAGAAAATCAATTCACACACCCAGCAGGAGCGTATGACAATTTCTTTTTTCCACAGTATTGCCAATGCCATGTTTTACCAGATTATTTTATTTCTTCTAATTGAATGGCTGCAACTGTCACTGAGGAATTTTTCTTAAGCTTTTTATAAGGTTTAACTTAGACAGTGCTTCCTTCAAGAAGTACTCCCAGATAGCTAAAGACTGTATTCCATACCCTTCCTATGTGCTTCCATGTGGATCAATTTAACACTTTGAATACTGCATTAGAATGGCCTGTTTACACTTCTTTCTCCTAGTCTTCACTCTTAGTTTCTTGGGGAAAGACATTGTGTATTTTCTTTCATTCTATCACCCGTGCCTTGGTAGATATTTAATGAAGTAAATAAATTCATGAAGTAGAAATTTAAAGAAATAGGAAATTGGCTTATTGTGGACTCTGTCCAAACGGAGGAGGAGGAGGAGGAGGAGGAGGAGGAGGAGGAGGCGGCGGCGGCGAAGGAGGAGGCGGAGGCAGAAGAAAAGAAGAAGGAGAAGAAGGAGAAGGAGAAGGAGAAGGAGAAGAAGAAGAAGAAAAGAGTAGTAGTACTCGTTTAGAAAGATGTCTCATAAATTATACAAGGGTTTTCTTTTAAAGTAATCACAATGCAAATGGCTACAGGATGGTAGCCATTTTCAATATTCAATAACAAAGTAATTCCCCACTGGGAAGTCTTTTTATCTAGCATATATGTCCATGCATTCACCTCTATCTAGCAATGGAATGAAATTCAGAAAGAAGTATGGTCTATATAAATGTACCCTTTTTTTCCAGTATGGTAAGCTATGTGACCTATTTA